TGTGGTCAATGACATGAGACAAAGTATATGTGAACTGCTGTATGGAAAGTGAATTTGCTCTGTAAATCTTCACCCAAATCACAATTAAAAAAAAAAATGTAGTTAAGTTTCCAATGAATGAAACAAAAAAAAAAAGAACAAACAACAAATACTAACCTCCAGGTAGGTTCTGGGAACAAGACCTTTATTTCCCTTGGCATCCTTAGCTATCCACCAACCATCAGGCTTCTTTTCAATTATAAGGAGAATTTCCCCTTTCTTAAAATTTAAAACAAAGGTAAAAATTAAAAAAATAAAACTCAACAATCATGACCATACTAATGCTTCAAAATATATGCTAGAGAAAAGATAGGATCTTTTCTTAACCCATTAAAACTAACTCACTGCTATTGAGTCGATCCAACTCATAGCAACCCCTCCTTGGGTTTCCAAGGCGGTATCACTATGGAAGTAGATTGCCCAGTCTTCCTTCTGAGGAGTGGATGGTAGGTTTCAACCGCCAGCCTTCTGGTTAGCAGACACATGCCTTAGACACTACGCCACCAGGGCTTGCACTTAACGCATTATTTATTCCAATTTGTATCAAAAGCTTCTCCCCAGACTACCTCTAAACCAGGTATGACTATAAATGAACGATTCCTTTTGGTTAGTTAGCTATTTTAACACACACTACTCAAACCATTTATCCAAATAAGAACTATCTTTCACAATCAAGTTTAGGGACCCAAACTATTCCAACAATTCACTTATTGTGCAAAACACTTTTATAATCTATGTAAAAATGTCTTTCAGAAGCATATATAAGTCAAAACTAATTCTATTAAATTAAAGTTAAGCCTTATTAGGCAGCTTTGCAGGCAGCAGGTCCCAGTGCCCAGTATAGGGTGATGAGGTTGTCTTGGGAGGTGGGGTATAGAAAGTCTAGTAGGGTTGGGTTACTTCCGTAGCCCCGGCCCAACCCCTAGATGATCCCGCGATATTTTCCTTGTATGATCGGGCCCCATTGTGGGCAGTGTCTTTTGCCCAAACCCTAAGAGGATTATGAAAATACTTCAGGAGACTTGGGGCCAGGGGACTGGGTGCAAGTAAATGGTGGGAGGGAGCGCGGGATGCGGGCAGCAGGTTAGGCTAGAGATGGGAGAGGTTTAGGCCTCTGCCGACATAACTGTTGAGCCCTGGTCAGTGATGATGTGACCACTGCGCAGTCTGAGTTCTGGGAACCAGATGATGAAGTGTGTGCTGAGCACGGACAAAAAAAAAGTTAGCCTTATTTTGAAGCAAAAACAGTTTGAAGCTAAAAATATTTGAAGCAAAAAATTTACCTAGCATAATTTACCCACCTAATTCACCAGATATATTGTGAATAACACTAGTCCATTTAGAAAAAAAAAAATCTGTGATTGTGAATAACACTAGTCCATTTAGAAAAAAAAAATCTGTGAAGAATTTCCACCACTGAGAACATTCAAAAAGAAACACTTAAAACTTACATTATTGTCTAACATCAATGACAATTTCAAGAGAATTTGAAAAAAAAAAAAAAAAACTAAAACTCTAGGAACTAAATACTAAAACCAGCTGTACAATATTCTTGTGTACTTATTATCAATACTGTATCAATATATTTATACGATAAATATAAGGGCCAAGATTCATACATTCTTTAAAATTTCTTTGGCTCATTTTTGTAGCAGAAAACTGCTTCAGATCTCTTTAAAACCCTCAACTTTATTTTCCATTCCACCTGCAACTTATGCACAACTAAAAAAGCATGGATGGAAAAGAAGAGATAGATAAAGTCAGCTCCTCATCAAGCCCCTTCCTACTGAGTTAACAAGAATTGCTACATGGCAGCATGAAGCATTTCCTTCTGTCTCCAGCTAGGTACAATGTCCTAACTTACCTTAATAAATACCTACCTAAATAAATACATACATATGATGAAGAAGGGGAGCTCTGGTAGCATAGTGGCTAAGACACTTGCCTGCTAACCAGACGGCTGGCGGTTCAAACCCACCAGCCACTCCTCGGAAGGAAGGT